TGACATGTTCGTACGAACCCTTTGTATGAACAAAAGTAAGAGAAATTTAGGAGAAGAATACGAGCATGTTCTTGCATGAGGCCCATTGTTTCTATGCCCTTGTTTATTTGACCTGATACCAATAAAAAGTTTGACGCACAGGGCCCAGCTACTGTTATTTTGTGGGACAAAAGCTGAAAAGTTTTGGATCTACTGGTATAGATGGTCTCATGTTTCACTACAGAATATTTTGGTCTACAGAGGACTTCACTGACTGCAGTGTGACCTGTGGCTGTAAAACAATTGCCACCTTCCTCAGGGGCTCCACCAGGGGGGAGGGCTAGGGTGCCAATGGCCACTCTTGAAAACGTTTCTGGCCCCTGGCCCCCATTTTATCCTCTTGGGTCCCAAGCTTTTGCTTTGTGTGCATTTTTTATTTATTATGAGGATTAGTAGAGCCTCATAAACATAAAAGCAACCATTACTTTTGAGCAAATAGGAGTTTAAAAATGTGAATATTTTTATTTAAATTAAAAATCTAACTCATAATCTTGGCAACCAGTCTAAAAACAATGTCCTCAACAATAGGTTGCAGGGTCTCACGAGGTTAAATGCATTTATTTTTCTATGAATATAAATTTAGGAGAGGACACGCTTCAATAAGTAATATTAAATGTAAATAAAATAAAGCAACATAAAAACTAAAGTAGACAGTAATTCCCTACTACAGATGAAAAATGGCCTTTTGGCTAATTCTATCTTTTTTAACCTATGAATTGTCGTGTACTTTATTAAATTGCACTGTCCCTTTTAAGTAAATAAATCAAATCAAATCCCTAACTCCCATATTGTATTCGTCAAACAACCTCTATATGACAACATAACAAATCTCCTGAAATTCAGTTTTGGTCTGTGCTGCCGCAGGACATTCCATGGCTGCACATGGCCATTCCAAGAAAACATTTCTGGAGGAGCCACTGACTGCTTCACAACTGACATGAGGTGTTTGTGCACATATGCTATGTTTAATTGTTTTTGACACACAGAGTTGTGCATTAAGTAAACATCTCAACTTTGGTCTCAGCTGCTTAAACAACATTGTTCTTGTGGTTCATTCTCATATAATTTTACAAACTGAAGTCATGCTGCCATGTTCTTTTTAGAGAGGGGATCCTTATGAATCAAACTTCATCCAATTTTATTATTACCTCCGCCAAGGAGGTTATGTTTTCAGTCACGTCTGTCTGTCTGTGGACAAAATTCCTCAACAACTTATGGATGGATTTTCATGATTTTCTTTTTACCACAGGTGGGTACTGGCCAAAGGAACACGCCATTAAATTTTGGTGATGATACGGATCACGATCTGGATGCCGGGATTTTTTTAAGGAATAATCCACTGTAGAACTGTAGACTCTGTAGACAGCCAATCAGCTTCAAGGAAACTGACTGTAGACTTCCAATCACATCGGATCATTTGTAGACGGGTCAACCCCCAACTGTAGACATCCAATGGGATTGCCTGGCGCATTGTAGAAGACCAATCATGAAGGCGCATGGAAATAAAACTTGAGACCAAATTATTTTTAAATTGAAAAAGTTACTGTTTTAACTGTTTTAACTGACTTTAATGTAACAAAAGATCTATTTGATAAAACGTCGGCCTGCTCGTCCTAACAATTTTGTATTTTGTGTTTACGTTTTTGGATTTTTTCCCCCACCTGTAATGGAAAGGTAACTTACCCAACCCTCCATTCAGGTCTGCTATCTGATAGATTATGCTAAGGTTTTCTTTTAAAATTATGTTTATTCTGTTTTTCTTTTATGGCAAATGGTTTTCTTCATTCTGATGCTGTTCCAGTCCTTGTGTCGTATGTAATTTATTATGTTTTTAGCACTTGTACACAAACACACACACATATATGACTAAAAATGTAATAAATCACATACAACACGAACACACACACACACACACACAAACATATACTTTACCTCCTCCAAGGAGGTTATGTTTTTGGTCGTGTCTTTCTGTCTGTCTGTCTGTGGGCAAAATTACTCCACAACTTATGGACGGATTTTCATGATTCCGATTTTCAGGTGGGCATTGGCCATAGGAACACACCATTGAATTTTGGTGATGATGTGGATCATGATCCAGATACAGGAATTTTTTTGAAAGATTCTTCACTA